TGTCGCACACAGTTCTGGGTTTTGTGCAGCCCATTTTAGCAGCTGCTGTCTCATCATGTACTAAACGATGCTGTTTAACATGACGTATTTCTGAAAAGTGTGAGACTGACTGACATTTTATAAAGATCTTTCTATAGCAGGCATAATTAGCCCAGAAACTGAGTTTCTTTAACAAATACTACCTGAAAGGAATACGTTAAGCATTAAAATGCCACATATTTTAGCATAAGGAAAACTGATCAGTAAAGTAAGCTTTGTAAAAGTCTCACATATACTTATGTACAATAATTCCTTGGGGAAAATATAGAAGAAAATGTTGACAGACAATACTGTGAACTATTCATGAATATGGTACACACATTTTTGTTCTTTTAGCATCAAAAATTAACTGCAGGGATTCTGGCCTAAAAGATTACCCCCCCCCCTTTCTCTCTGTGGTTAATGACTGAGGTTAGTTACCATTTATCATCTGACATAGGTAGCAGCAAAAATGTTGTCCCCAGAAAATGAATGTTTAGAGGTAGAAATAGATTTGTTATAGGGAAGAGACTGGTGGTTCAATTACTGCATAGCACAATACACAGAAATCATTTTAGGATGAATAGTTATCTCAGTATCTTCAGGAATTGCAAACTGCTGCAAGACTTTAAATTTAAAAAAATGCAATGGATATATCCAGGGATCTATTCCAATGGACATGGCTATATCAACAATTTTCAAATTTCATGTAGTAATTTTATTATCATGCATTCTATTATTTGAAATTCAGAATTTCCATTCTAAAGGTTTAATTTTTAAACTACAAGGCATTCTCAAATCTACTCCTAATTTTTCTCTAGGACATAGGCATCTGGTCTCAAATACAGGACATTCTCCTGCATAAGTTAAATGTATTGACAAAAAATTATAGAACAATAATTTTCTTCCATGCCAGAACACAAAGGAAGTAAAGGTAATTTCACAATTCCTCTAATCTCTTATACTACTCAGAGAAAATAAAAGACCACAGAGACCATTAGCCTTTTATCAATGTGAAAATCATAGCTTAGAGAGGTTTTCTGACTTCTTTCCAGAAACACACAGCTAATAGAACAGCTGAATTTCCCAATGCCACTTTTCCTCCTGTACTATATTTCTCTTTGTATCCCCGAGGTATAACAAGAGTAGCATTGGAGACACCAGACCTAGCTCTCAAATGCAGATTCTACACAGAATTCTATTCCCAATAACAATAAGCAACGTTTTGCATCTTCTAAGATGCAGTAAGTATAGCACCTGTAATACGTTGCAGACATGATCAGAAATTTAATAAGACCCTAAAAAACTAACTTAGAGACTAGTGATAAAAAATTGATAATATAAAACATGTTAGCACACTGGACACAAACACTGAATTAGCCCCAAAGTGTTCCTTAAAAATGTTACTGTAGCAAGAATGGAGATTATGCAGTTTATAAATGAAGTGCTATGTTTTTCCTTTAAATATCAAATATGCACTATAAAATTGGAAATGAAAAAATAGAGTACAATCTGATTCAGTTTAATTAAACTTTATGCCTGTGACCTATTTCAACAATTTAACATTTTAATTCTGCAACTATTTTCATTTCTGAAAGATGTTCTTCATTTTGTAATATTATATAACTAAATCACTAATGAAGTGACTTTCCATCCCAATCAATAGTATCTGGTAATAATTTAAGTACCATTTCTAAATGACTTAACCCTATGATTGCACTTAAACTTTGGGGAGGTAAAATTGAATGAAACAACACAATACCTTTGCTATGGGAGTCAAAATAAACAGTTAAATGTATTTTAAACTCCCTGTCAGCTTTAGCATCAGCATGGAGAAAGGGACAGATTGTTGTGTTCATCCCAGTTTGTTTTATAGGCACAGAATGATAATGTCTAGAAATCTGGGTTACAATGTAAGAAGATACAGCAAAAGAGAGCAGATAGAAATCTTTAGTGTACCAACATGCAATTTCAAATGGATAGACTGCCTTTTTGTTTTTCTTCAGATTGGCTAAAATCTCTTAAAATGTATTTGATGGAATAGTCCCTTAATACATGTAATATTCTGTAGCAAGG